CTGAAGTCTGTTGAGTCAGGCACCCAAAGAAACCTTGTATGTCTCTGCCTCTGAGATCTGGGGGCTGGCTGTGGTTTCAGCTGCCTTGTGGGAAACCTTAGACCTCTGCCAGCTTGGTCTGTGTCCTGAACAATGTCCAGATGGGTTTTTGCATCATACTTGGGTCCCAGGAATGTTTAATATCCCTAAGTTACCTGTGCTCGTTTTCTTGTCTGTTAAAAATACTTAAAGCAGAAAATTTGTGTAGAATGTATGACTGGATTAGAGCAGTTAGGGGATGGGGAGCTCAAGCAGCAGCTGTGATAAGGTTTGCAGAGTTCATGTTTACTGGGTGGCTTGTCCTGTCCCATTTTGGTTCTGGAGACTCCGTATTTGAAGGTTTCCATTCAGCCTCCTCTGCTTCTTCTCATTTGTCTGATAGCATTGCTTGTTTCCATGGGGATATTTACAGCCAAAGGAAGAAAATGATTCTCTAAGGACTGACTGCATTAGTTGATCTCTTGAAAAAGACATTTCAAGCAAGAATGATACAGAGTATTTTGAGCAGTTTTCTTTCCCTGTACAGTGTCAGTACTGAAGTCTACTTTGTGGCAAGGTGGGAGTTGGGGAGTGTTTGAAAATGTTTTCTGCTTCCAACTTAATCCATCCTGAACAGAACTCTTCATTGTTATTTTACAGAAATGCAGTAAAAAGCCAAACGGGATGTTTTAACCTGTCTATGTGGAGATTTACAGCAGTGTCCTTTCTGTTGCATAAACTGTGCTTTTCATATGTGTAATTGGCAGAGGATTGTGGTTGCTGTAGTGCCAAGTAGGGATTCATTAGTAGAACTTAAATTCACTGCATCTCCTCAACTGAAATGAGAAGTCTTGATCTAAAAACATGATATAACATACAGGATCTTACAGGATTGTTCTTTCCATCCCAAATACTCTGTTCATAAGCAAAACCAATGCTCTTGGAGCTGGTAATTTGTCATTTTGTTTATTTACCAGTATGTGGAAGGATGTTTGGATAGATGGATGCACGGATGGACAAGCAAGTATTCTGGGTGATCTACAGTCCAAAGCATTTCAAACTGCTGTGAGCAAAATTACTTCACCTAAAGCTGTTGTTATTCTGACACATTACTTCTTGTTTAACTTGCAGGTCAGTGAAAAATATATGCATTTATATAGTGGCTTTGTCTCTATATGCTTTGTTTGTATTGAAATCCACAATGAAGCTCAGTTTATAAGGAATTCTGTGGGGTCCTAGTCTTGTTTGGGATAAATACTTATACACACAGAAATACATATGTGGGTATAAAATGAAGTTATTTTCTGTGTCAAAAAGAAATTCCAAGAGAAACTTTGGTTTAAAGGAAATGGGGGAAAAAGAATGTACTTTTCCTTTAAGAGTGGGGTGGCATATATATCATGATGGTTGTTTATCCCTTTCTTGTAGATACACTGACACTCCTTTTGATGAGTATTAGTACTGAAAGATGGTCCATTTCTTTTGAAGTCCCTTCATTCTGTCTAATGAAGGAAGGAAAGCAATGAAGGGTTTAACACCTTGTGAATAGAGTGCGAGTATTCAGAACTTGGCTGTGATGGGAGATTGCTGCTGTAAATGAGTTTTCAGCTGTCAAGGCTGCTCTCCCATTTCCCGTAAAGGTGGCTTTAAAATGTCAGTATTTCACTCATTTTTTGACTTTCTATGAAAGGCCACATTGATTACCAAACAAAGTGTGTTTGTAAGGTTTTGCTCGCTTGCTGCCACTTCCTGAGCGGGCAGATCTTTGCCAAGAACTTCTTGAGGTTTCCATCTCACATTCCAGCCCTCTGCTGATCCTATCTATTCAGTATGGAGCAGTGGAGCCCTGTTCACTCCTAGTTTGCAGCCTTTTTCTTTCACACAAATCCACTCTTGACTTTGTGTCAGATTTCTGCGTTTCTCATCTTGCTTAAGACCTTCATAACACTCATGAACATTCTTTTGTCAGAGACATCAGAATGTCTTTAGGTTTATGTGGATAAAAACCCCTGGTGATTTAAGAGCACTGCTGGTGTCTTATCCCTGAAGTTCTCTGCTTATTGGCTTCCTTCACTTGCTGATAACACTCAGTGCACAAAGTGGTGCAGATAATCCAATCGGGCTGCATATGGTGGCAAAAAACATTCCACCTAGGTTTTCATATTGCTGGATCTGACTGCAAAGATCAATGATCCCAGTTAGATTTCCCCAATGCAGCAGCCTAATTAATTTGTTGCTAGGCAGATTACCCAGCTTCAACTACTACTCATACATGTAGGAGCTTAGGGGAAGGTATCAGTTAAGGACACACATAAATGTTTGTACCAGGAGCTACGAAAAGAACAGGGGAATGAGAAAGTGGAGTATAGGGAGGGTATAGGACAGCTGAATGGGTTCTTGTGGAAGAAATGCTCTAGTTCTTGTCCAGACTCCAAATTCTGACCCCTGTGAGCACCCCAGAACTCCAGTTGAAGGCTATGCTCCCTTGAAGATGAAAATAGGGGGAATCAGTTCCTGTGACTTTGGCTTGTGATAATATTCCTACCTGGGCTGCATGCTGATAGTGCAAAACCTTCAATCCTGAGCTGGTTCCCATATAGGTGTCTCTGAACTTTTTTATCATCGTGTTGCTGGAGCTTAAAAGATATTTTATAGAAAGGGGAGGATATGTTTACTGCCTGCCCTCAACTGCTAGAGGCTGGGTGACAGCAAAAGGTCATTCTTGGGCTAAAACAAAGGAAAAAGGCAGGTGGACTATGGACTTCTCTGCATGAGGATGGTGGTGACAGGACAACGTGGGACTTGAAGCTGAGCAGGAGCCAGAGGTAGTGTGGATGTGGATGTGGATGCTTGTTTTACAAAAGGAGAAGGTTACTTCTAGTGATACTAATGCAATTAGGAGCATGTTTAACAAACATGTCGTAAAGTATTGTGGTAGGAACCCAAAACTGTCTAAGCACCTGTGTAGCACAGCATTACCCACAGTAAAAAAGCAGCCTTTGCTCATGCATGTGTAATGTCACTTTGCTCGAGTACAGTCAGTGCCTGCTGCCTCTTTGCATTAGGTGGAAGTTCCTAGAGAAACTTTCCTCAGTCTGAGACACTCAGATGTGCTGAACACCATGCACAGCCTCAGGTTGTTCTTGGCTCTCTAATTAGGCGGTGAGCAGCCCAGAGTTCACTGTGTGCTAGCCCTGAAGGGATTTCAGTGTTGCTGCGGGTTTGTTTCTGCTGAACAAGGCAGCCTTCAAGTACCTAAAGGGGCAGACAGGAAATCTGGAGAGGGATCTTCATCAGGGACTGTAGTGATAGGGTTGGGGGCAATGGGTTCAAACTGAAACAGCAGAGATTTAAGTTAAATATAAAGAAGAAATTCTTTACTGTGAGGGGTTGAGACACTGGCACTGGTTGCCCAGAGAAGCTGTGGCTGCCCCATCCCTGGCAGTGCTCAAGGCCGGGTTGGACACAGGGGCTTGGAGCAAGCTGCTCCAGTGGAAGGGGTCCCTGCCCGTGGCAGGGGTTGGAACTCTATGAGCTTTGAGGTCCCTTCATCCCAAACCACTCTGTGATTTTATGATCCTCTAACAAAACCTTTCTTTAGTGCCCCAAGCCCAGCTGAGAGCTGACCCAGCCTAGTTTGTGGCAATGGCTGGAAGAGCAGAGACGTCAGCTGATGGGCTTCAGCTATGCAAAATTCCTTGCTGCTTCCCTTCAGATTGTCCATGCTCTCCTGTGACTTCATCTGGCTGTTACTTTAAAAAGGCCTGTGTTTTCTACCACTGGCAGAGTAACCAGCTGCATTATCTCTGCATTACTGAGGTCTGCATTCAGGCAGCAGGAGCCATCCCCCAGCTCAGTGAGAAGTGACAGCAGCTCAGGGAAGAGGGAACCCTCAGGGGTTGGACAGGATCGTGGTGATGGGCACCTTCCCATCCCTGCTGCTCTTTGGCTTATCAAATGCTTCATATGCGTGGCTTCATTTAAGGAAAAAAGATCTGCACTGCAATCTGTGCTCTAATTTGAGGACACCATTTAGTGGTTTTAATTGTGTGACAGTATTTTGGTATTTTCAATACCCGGTAGTAGGTTAATGACTGTTCCTTGAAGAATGGAGTTTATATAACCCAAGTCATTACATAAGGCAGCTGGTTGTGGCCTGAGGAACAGAAGGAAAAACAAATACGTGAGGATGCAAAACCCAGGGCAAGCAAACTCCATGCTGATGACCCTGAGAAGCCTAAACTTAGAAATGTTCCTTGAGTTCTAGCAAGGTGAAACTCACCTTGAGGAAGGCTGAGGGCTTGGAGATAAAGGCACGACACGATAGCCATCAAGCTCTGTGCTACCACGCATTTCCCACGTGGTGGCTATGTGGTTTACATTAAAACAAACAGCAAACAAGCAAGCAGAAAGTTATTCCTGTGCTCTGTTATTTTTCCCAGAGCTCGGAACCATGGCCTGAGGTGGACTGACCCAGTGGGGAAACAAAACCATGGGAAAACCTCAAGCCCAGACCTTAGATCTCAGGCTTGATAGACAGGATGATGCGTGGGGTAGTTTTAGTTCAGTCCCAAAAGTGAGTGGGTCTCCTGCATCCACATCACCCCAGCTATTCTTAGGGTGCTGAGATGTCCCAGGAGGTGGTGGGCAGAGGTGGGAATCATTCCTGGTTCTGATGCCAAAGAAGGGCTGGGCGCCCGCAGCCTTCCTTATGTGTCCCTTTGGGCATCTTCCTTGGGGCAAGCGGGTGCTCGGGCCCTGCCATGAGCAGAAGGGGCAAAGGCTGGAGCTTCCCCCGGTGGGGCCGCGGCTCTCGGAGCGGGCAGCGGCTGTCGGAGGGAGAGCGGCGGCAATCGGGGCTCCGGTGTCCCCGTTCCCCGCAGCCCCGGCTGGGGGGGTCCCGGCGGTGCCCCGGGGCCGGCCCCGGCCGGGAGGAAGGGCGGGGTGAGGATGGCGTGTGGGACTCGAAATGCGGCCAAGCGCCGCTGCCGGGGCTTCTTCGCTGGGGAGAAGCGAGTGTGTGCGGGGCGGGGGGAGCCCCGCACGGGCAGGTCCGCAGCGCCGCCGCCCGCCATGAGCCGCTCCCGGAGCTTCGCCTCCCCGCGTAGGTAAATGCCCGGGGTGGGGAAGGGGCGGCCGGTTCCGTGGGGCTCATCCCCCCCCATCCCCGTGCGGAGCCACTCGAGCCCGGTGCGGGGAGGGGGGGGACCAAGCCGGGGGCTGCCAGCGCGGAGCCGAGCAGCGGGGACACGCAGCCCCGAGCCGGGAATGGGAGGGGGGGTGTGGTGGTGTTGCTGGGTTATTTTTGGGTATCGTTTTTTTGACGTTTGAGGTATTTATTTATTTATTGTATTTTTTTCATTGCACCGATCGGGAGGGGGGTTGATTTCGGCGAAGAGGATGCAATGAGGCTCCCCCGGACTGGGTGATTTTTGCAGCCTGCCTCCTCCTCCTCCTCCCCTAGCCTTCCTCTCCCCCCCCCCCCCCCTCCCCTCTTTCCTCCCCGTTTTTGGCTGGCTCGCTTTCCAGTTGCTGCATGAAGGGCTGTGCTTGTGGCGGTGCCTGCCCGCTCCCGGAGACGTGGCGCACCCCCCTCGGCCGAGGGGAGGCCGGGGCCAAAGAGAAGTGGGGGGGGTTTAGGTGAGGGGGGGGTGGGTGTATTTTTTTTTATGATTATTTTTATTTTTTATCTATCACATCTGTCCTAGACAAATAAAAACATAAAGGGGGCAGGGCGCGGGAGCCCGCGGCATTCCCGGCGCGGGGAACACGCGTGTGTGCGGGGGGCCCCCCGCCGCACCGCAGCGTGCGGGCGCTGAGCGCGATGCGCCCCGGGCTGAGCTCTGCGGAATAGCGCGGCCGCCGCTCGCCGTCCGCGGGCTGGACGGACCCGACCGCTGGCAATTCCCTATTGATGTCCATGAATGCAAACACCATGATTTTCATGATCCTGGGCGCCTCTATCGTTATGGTAAGAGATTTTGCTTATTTCCCTCCCCTCCATCCCTCCTCCTCTTCCCCTCCCCGCACTGTCCCTCAGCCTGTGCACCTCTGTGTGTGTGTGCGCGTGTGCATGTGCCCCATTAAACACCAAAGATTATTTTTCTTTATGACTGCTTCAGTCTTTGGCAATCAAACTCGAGTCAATGTTTTATTCCATCATCCAGAGTTGACCAGATGCCTTGGTTATGGGCTCTTACAGGCAATAGCTTGCTTGATGGACATGAATGCGTTGTTGGACAGATTTCACAATTACATCTTACCGCATCTGAGAGGGGAAGACCGAGTTTGTCACTGCAACTGTGGAAGGTAAGTTCCCTGCATTAGAGCTCCCACCCAGCCCCTTCCCACCCCATCCCATTGGAAAGGCACAGCGAGGTGGTGGCCAGCGGCGGGGTGCTGCTGGCTGGGCTACCATCTTTGCATTCTGGCTGTGTCTCACCTTCCTGCATGAAGGGAGGGGGGGGCTGTGTGGTTTTTCCGGAAGAAGAGTTTTCCGAGGGCCTGGAAGTCCATTTTCCTTTGTGTGCATGTTGTGTATGTGCATCTGGGAGCCCTGGGAAAGTAACTTTCATTTAAACGCTCGTGATTCTGCTGTTGTCGTCACTGGCTGCGTTGCTTCTCGGTGTGTTGGTGGTCCTGGTGTTGCAGTTGGTGGCTTAAATGGAAAGGGGTTTGGAGGCTCTGTGTCCAGGAGGGAACGTTGCTGTCTAGGACAGAGTCACTTTGAGGCTTTGTGATCTTTGATCAGCGTTTAATTCTCCGTGGCTTTCCTGCTGAGAGTTGTGATGGTGCTGGACAGGGGTAGCTGGGCCATGCTTTGTGGAGCATTGAGGCAGCTCAGAGCGCCGGGGTGGACCCTGTGCCAGGAGTGATGCCTTTGCCGGGTGCGAGTTTATGACTGGACAAATACCCACCTCTCCCCACGGCTGTTTGGCACTGCTTCATCCTCCCGAACAGGGTTCACTTCTTGTGTCGTGTGTCAGCGCTGGAGAGCTCAACCGGGCTTTGGCTGCTCTCCTGTTAGAGCCTGGGGACTGAGTGCTGGGGGGTGAATGTCTCTCTTTGCTATGGGACTGCTGTCAGTGACCCCTTCGAGGCCTCACTCCCCTCCTGTGCCTGCTGCTGCCGGAGAGTTTCTTCTCTGTGGGGAAGTAAAGCAGCGTGAGGCTGTGCCAGCCAAAGGACGTGCTGGGGAGCCCTCCCCTGCCACATCCAGCATTCAGAGTGAGCTTTACCCCTCTCCGAGCATCCTCTGGAACCAGCTGCATCCCGTCTCCCTGGTGTCGCATCCCTCTGGTGTCCCTGGTGTGGAAGCAAAGCTGAAATTGGGATGTGTATGGTTTAATGAAGGAAAACTGCTTTGCCCTTCCACTCTGCTTCAGTCACTGATGGTGATTGTTAATGTTCTCCCCATGGTTCCTCCTCAGGTTCCTGTGGCAGAGCAGCAAAGAAGGTACAAGCCTCTAAGGCCAGATGCAGCCAGGCCTGAGGGACTTAGTGAGCAAACCCTCAATCCTGGCTCCTTGGGCTCCTCAGGCACCTTGTGTTGGGGTCAATGGGGAAGACTGTGGGCAAGAAACATCCACAGCATCTTTGGCTTTCTTTTTTGGCAGGGATTGGCTTTTTTTAGGGAACCTTTTGGAGTCTTCTTGATGTTTTTCACTAGTTCAACAGTCTTCCCCTGCCTCTTCAACCAATTTCCCTTTTTGCTTGTCAAAGCCGTGTTCAGTGATAGTGAAAATTGGCTGCTGGTAATAGACTGGTAACACTGGAGTGGCTGAGGTGTGTCGGGTCTCACTGGTGGTGTTGGCAGTGCCCCCTCTGCCCAAGGCTGAGGAGGTGACAGGGACCCTCCTCTCTCCTCTCACTGTATGTCGGTAGAGATGCTGTTGAGCAGGTGAATTAGCCACAGCCCTCTCCCCATAGCTAGATCCTTTCTTAGAAAGAACAAACCAGCTTCCAAATCATCACACAAGGATCTGAGAGAAGGCACAAAGCAGTTTACCACTTGCCTTAGGTGTGTAGAAGCAATGGCTCTTGCCAACAGAAAGAGCATGCCAGTCTCTGCCCCAGGCATCACTCTTGTTGTGCATGAGGATTGGTTTCAACACGTTCATGCTCTGATGGAGAGACCCTTGCACAAAGCATCACTGTGCTGTGGGGCTTGTGTGGCCTCATGCTAAGGTTTGGTGTGAGATCCTCACTGTGAGCTCTGACTGCTGCCCAAGTGCCAGTGTTTTGAGTTCTCTGATTTATAAGGCAGGTGTTGGTGAATGCCTCTTTTGTCAGCAGTCCAAGTGCTCTGGGTGCAGCTCTTGAGTGCACATAGATGAGCCATAAGCAGTGCTGCCTTGCACTAGGCAAGGATGCATCTGGGAGCAGCGGTGCCAGGCATTGATACAGGACTCTTCATTTGCCAATAACCAAAGGGAGTCCTTGGAGGAGGGAACTGGCTGCAGTTCAGTGTGTTGCAGGGAGGAATGGGGAAAATGAGTAAATGGTGCAGAAATGGAAGGAAGAATTGGAATAACAGAAGATTGATGTGCAATAGGCTGAGCTGCTGCGATGACTGCTCTTCCCTCCTGCCCTCGCCGAGGTTGTGATGTCAGTTGCCCCCTCTAATTCATTCAGAAAGGTTTTCCTACTCTCCTATCCTGGTTGTATCTGTCCTGAGGGTACCAGCGTGGACCCCATCCCCAGGAATGGTCTGAGCATCCTGGGCCGCACCGGGATGGCATTGGGCATCCAGTGCACGGCAGGATGTGCTCTGCAGGAGGAATCAGAATCTGCACTGCTGGTGTGAGGGGCTGGGAGCTGTTGCCTTGCTGGTGGTGGCTGTGCACAGCCAGGGCTGACCATGTGTGTCCCAGTCCCCAGTGCTGGGAACATGGGGCTCTGCCTGTCCCAGGACACCATGTCCCATCTCATCCCTGCAAGGCTCTAGGGAAAAGCCCAGCCTTAGCTCTTGGCTGTTCCTGCTGCTCTTTGATGCTGGAGTGCCCCTTCCCAGGCAGAAAACTGCAGGCAGCCCTGGAGTTCTGGCTCCGACCACGGCTGGAAGAGGCCAAAGGCAGATGTGCCCATTAGTGCATCTGTAGCTGGATCTCTTTGGCAATGGGATGGGGGCCTGGCTGTTTCCAGCTCCCTCTCCTCATGTTTTCCTGCCTGTACCTGCTGCCCCCCTAGGAGGGGTGTCTGGGACACAGTGAGCGTCCGTCCGGTGCTGGGCTCTGGTGGGAGCTGGCAGGCAGCAGTGTGAACCGTGCCATGGTGGCTCTGGGCTCGCTAGAATCCCCTGTGTGCATGGACAGCAAGGCACCGTGGTCTGGCTGCTCCTCAAATTGCTCTTCAGGTGCCGCGGAGGCTGTGGCCAGGATAGCTCCTCATGGGCAGTGAGGTCTGTGCCCATTTTTCTCAACACAGGCCTAGCAAGAAGGTCCCAGGACAAGTGGGAGGAAGTGCTGGCTTATGGCATCATTCCTGCCTCTTCCTGAAGCACCCTCTGCCAACCCTTGCCTCACAGACAGGGCCTTGTTTCCTGCAGCTGGGAACATACTTTGTGCTGTTATCATGGTCCTGAGCACTTGGGGTGTGAGTGGGGAGAGTCACTGGGGCAAGACATGTGGGGAAGAAACTCATCCCCATCTTCAGGTCCTGCTGCATCTGAACACTGCTACCCCTGATGTGCACATCCCTGTGGGTCAGGGTCACTGGAGCTCTTTGAGGCTGGACCTTTTCAGGCCCATGATGGGAGAAGGGAGCTGTGGCTGTGCTGGGCCAAGGTTTCAGTGACTGCCTGTGGCTGCAGGGTCCAGACCCCTTGTTTGCCTGGGGGTTATGCTGCTGGAGTTTCATGTCCAAGCCGCCCTTCTGCCCAGTGCAAGCTGTTGGTCGAGGCTGGTGCATGTCTGTGCTCTGATCAGAGCCGCTCTTTTCAGTGTGAGTGAGCCTGGGCTGCGCAGCATTGCCACTGGAGTGGTCCTCCTCCCGGAGCGGAGCCGGATGGTCCTTGAGCTGTGAGTGGGAGCAGATGTGCTCATCCATGCAGGGGGGATATTGCTGCTAGGCTGGACCGGGGCTTTCCCACTGGAGCCAAGGAGGGCAAAGCTGCCAGAAGCCCTGAGGCCAGGAAAAATGCATCCACAGCTGCCTGGTGGGAAGGGGAGCTCGTGTAGTGATGGTGCATGGAGAGAGATCATCAGCAGAGACAGGGCTGGCCCTGGCACCTGGTGCTGACACCCAGCCTGCACAGACATGCTGGTATGACAGGGACTGTTCCTCTCTTAACATCTGCCTTCTCGCTGGAGGAAGAAGGGGTGACAGCCTCATTTACACTCCTGCTGGCTCCTGTTGATGCCGTGCAGGAATGTGCCTGCTGGAGCAGATCCCTGGGGGAGCTTGGCACTCTCTGTCCTCAGCATGTGGAGATAGTCAGGCTGTCCAAATCACGGTGTTGGGGCCTGCTTGCATGCGGGCAGCTCACCCCTCTGGCTGGGGATGTACCTGTTCCCAGGAGAGAGCAGGGGATGGGCGCTGCAGGAGCGTAGCACTGCCCTAGTCCGAATGTCTCTGTCCCAGCCAGTAAAGGGTCCTCTCTGGAAGCAGAGAGCTGGCAGCAGATCAGGAGCTGGGTGATGTCATGCAAAGGAAAAACACCAAAGGGCGTCCGTGGAGGCAGGGTGAGATGGAGAGAACAGATGACACCTGCATGGAGCGAGGGCCGGCCAAAACAGCCAGAGGGGGGCTTGGAAGTCCCGTGTCTGGGAATGGACAGGGAGCTCAGGAGCTCTGGCACGTATTCTCCTTGCCACTGACCTTCTGAGTGACCTTGGCTGAGTCTGTCCTCCCAGGCAGTGTCTCTGACCATGAGCAGGCTTGGAAGGGACTGAGAGGGGTGTCAGCCTTACCTAATGCCAGCACCTTGCAGCAGAGCTGGGGCCTGTCCATCGGAGGGGTGCTTCACACTGTTCCCACTGGGATCTGATCCAGGAGGGAATATCTCAGGACAAGGCTATGCCGGGCCTCTCCAGAGCAACTGGTGCACATGGAGACCCTGCAGTGCCATTTGGCTGAGCGCACAGTGTTGATGTGTGAAGTGGCTGCTCCCTGGGGCTCTGCCCTGATGCTGGCTCACTGGCAGCACCAGTGACCAGGGAGGATGGCTGGGGGTGCTGGAGCTGTGTTGTCTGGTGGCAGCATGGGTTTGGATAACGCTGCTGGCTGGGCCCTGTCCTGGGCTAGCAGCACTGCTGTTGGGGGTACGCAGAGTACAGTTTTGCCCTGTTTCCTCCTTCCCCAAGCACTCC